AGCGAAAGGAAAGTCCAATGCTGTAAAGAAAAATATTGCATAGGAACCTGGAATGTAAGAACCATGAACCTTGGTAAGTTGGATGTGGTCAAAAATGAGATGGCAAGAATAAATATTGACATCCTGGGCATCAGTGAACTAAAATGGACGGGAATGGGTGAATTCAGTTCGGATGACCATCACATCTACTACTGTGGGCAAGAATCCCATAAAAGAAATGGAGTGGCCCTCATAGTCAACAAAAGAGTGGCAAAAACTGTACTGGGATGCAATATCAAAAATGATAGAATGATCTCGATACGAATACAAGGCAGACCTTTTAACATCACAGTAATCCAAGTTTATGCACCAACCACTGGTGCTGAAGAAACTGAAATTGACCAATTCTGTGAAGACTTACAACACCTTATAGAAATGACACCAAAGAAGGATGTTCTTCTCATTATAGGGGATTGGAATGCTAAAGTAGGGAGTCAAGAGATAAAAGGAACAACTGGCAAGTTTGGCCTTGGAGTTCAAAACGAAGCAGGGCAAAGGCTAATAGAGTTCTGCCAAGAGAACAAGCTGGTCATCACAAACACTCTTTTCCAACAACACAAGAGACGACTCTACACATGGACATCACCAGATGGACAGCATCGAAATCAGATTGATTATATTCTCTGCAGCCAAAGATGGAGAAGCTCCATACAGTCAGCAAAAACAAGACCTGGAGCTGACTGTGGCTCAGATCATCAGCTTCTTATAGCAAAATTCAAACTTAAACTGAAGAAAGTAGGAAAAACCACTGGGCCGGTAAGATACAATCTAAGTCAAATCCCTTATGAATACACAGTGGAAGTGAGGAACAGGTTTAAGGATTTAGATTTGGTGGACAGAGTGCCTGAAGAACTATGGATGGAGGCTCATAACATTATACAAGAGGCAGCAACTAAAACCATCCCAATGAAAAGGAAATGCAAGAAAGCAAAGTGGGTGTCCAATGAGGCCTTACAAATAGCGGGGGAGAGAAGGCAAGCAAAATGCGAGGGAGATAGTGAAAGATACAGGAAACTGAATGCAGATTTCCAAAGAATAGCAAGGAGAGACAAGAAGGCCTTCTTAAATGAGCAATGCAAAGAAATAGAGGAAAACAATAGAATGGGAAAAACCAGAGATTTGTTCAAGAAAATTGGAGATATGAAAGGAACATTTCATACAAAGATTTCTATAATAAAAGACAAAAGTGGAAAGGACCTAACACAAGCAGAAGACATCAAGAAGAGGTGGCAAGAATACACAGAGGAACTATACCAGAAAGAAATGGATGTCTCGTATACCCCAGGTAGTGTGGTTGCTGACCTTGAGCCAGACATCCTGGAGAGTGAAGTCAAATGGGCCTTAGAAAGCATTGCTAATAACAAGGCTAGTGGAAGTGATGATATTGCAGCTGAACTATTTAAAATTTTAAAAGATGATGCTGTTAAGGTGCTACACTCAGTATGCCAGCAAATTTGGAAAACTCAGCAGTGGCCAGAGGATTGGAGAAGATCAGTCTACATCCCAATCCCAAAGAAGGGAAGTGCCAAAGAATGCTCCAACTACCGCACAATTGCACTCATTTCACACGCTAGCAAGGTTATGCTTAAAATTCTACAAGGCAGGCTTAAGCAGTATGTGGACCGAGAACTCCCAGAAGTGCAAGCTGGATTTAGAAGAGGCAGAGGAACCAGGGACCAAATTGCAAACATGCGCTGGATTATGGAGAAAGCTAGAGAGTTCCAGAAAGACATCTACTTCTGCTTCATTGACTATGCAAAGCCTTTGACTGTGTCGACCACAGCAAACTATGGCAAGTTCTTAAAGAAATGGGAGTGCCTGATCACCTCATCTGTCTCCTGAGAAATCTCTATGTGGGACAAGAAGCTACAGTTAGAACTGGATATGGAACAACTGATTGGTTCAAAATTGGGAAAGGAGTACGGCAAGGCTGTATATTGTCCCCTGCTTATTTAACTTATATGCAGAATTCATCATGCGAAAGGCTGGGCTGGATGAATCCCAAGCCGGAATTAAGATCGCCGGAAGAAATATCAACAACCTCAGATATGCAGATGACACAACCTTGATGGCAGAAAGTGAGGAGGAATTAAAGAACCTTTTAATGAGGGTGAAAGAGGAGAGCACAAAATATGGTCTGAAGCTCAACATCAAAAAAGCGAAGATCATGGCCACTGGTCCCATCACCTCCTGGCAAATAGAAGGGGAAGAAATGGAGGCAGTGAGAGATTTTACTTTCTTGGGCTCCATGATCACTGCAGATGGTGACAGCAGTCACGAAATTAAAAGACGCCTGCTCCTTGGGAGAAAGGCAATGGCAAACTTAGACAGCATCTTAAAAAGCAGAGACATCACCTTACCAACAAAGGTCCGTATAGTTAAAGCCATGGTCTTCCCAGTAGTGATGTATGGAAGTGAGAGCTGGACCATAAAGAAGGCTGATCGCCGAAGAATTGATGCTTTTGAATTATGGTGCTGGAGGAGACTCTTGAGAGTCCCATGGACTGCAAGAAGATCAAACATATCCATTCTTAAGGAAATCAGCCCTGAGTGCTCACTGGAAGGACAGATCGTGAAGCTGAGGCTCCAATACTTTGGCCACTTCATGAGAAGAGAAGACTCTCTGGAAAAGACCCTGATGTTGGGAAAGATGGAGGGCACAAGGAGAAGGGGACGACAGAGGACGAGATGGTTGGACAGTGTTCTCGAAGCTACAAACATGAGTCTGACCAAACTGCGGGAGGCAGTGGAAGACAGGAGTGCCTGGCGTGCTCTGGTCCATGGGGTCACGAAGAGTCGGACACGACTAAACGACTAAACAACAACAACCCAGTTGCTGTCATTTCTCTTACCCTATTCCCACCCCAATCTGTCAGCTTATTTCATCCATGCTACTTTTTTACATTCAGTTCTTCCTCCTATAACAGCCTTCCTCTCCATGACGTTTTTAATTTATTACATAATTATTATCCTATTGATATTTTTTCTCATTTTTTCCTTCAACACTTCCTTTGGCCCTCTGACACCTTCAAGACTGGAGACCTCTCTTCCTGAAATCCTGCCTCTTGAGCACCTTTAGCATGTGAGGAATTGCTGGTGCTGACTGGCATTCATTCAACCAAAAGGCTAGGCATAGCAAGGAGTGGGGTGGGCGAATGGAAGCGGTGCTGGGTGCACTGTGGCACTGTAGTGTGCTGAGGCCATCCTTTGAGAAGCACTGCGCAAGAGAGAGTTTGGGCTAACTATGCCTCATGTCTTAGTGGGGTGTTCATCATAAGTGCACACAAAAGCCACGCCTATGTATGTCATTCATGCCGATTATAAAGCAGAGGTCAATGGTGTTGAAATCTGTTCCTTTGTTAGCATGCTGATTCAGGAGGTACAGTATATGATCTTTGATACTAAAACATGGCATGTTAAAGTCCACTGCAGCTACTTGGCTGATTATTTCCAGAGAAAGCCTAGCATGGTACAAGCAGAATTCCTCCTCCTGCAAAGAACTTAAGTCAGGAGGAGGAGGATCAGAACATCACCCCCAATCCGTGAAGTACAATACCAGGAAACAACTCTGCTTATCAGAGCAGACCGTAAAACTCTCCCAAGACATTCCGTTACCTTTGTATACAAAAGTACCATATGTATTTTTCCACTTTCCTTAGAAACACCAGTACTTCCTCTCACAAACAACTTCTGCATTTTATTTTCACTTAATATGGTAAACACATTATGAATACAGTCCAGAAAACTTCTAGAGGCCAGTTATAGCCTTTGAAATAAATGCCTGGTTTCAACTTCTCTGGTCCCACCTACCAAAACCAAGATACAGTATAAGATGCTCGTCAGACCTGAACACACAACCAATTTTAAATCCAACCTATTTTTTGTAAATGCCATCCTAGAGCCCTCCAGATGTTTTGAACTACAACTCCCATCAGGTGTGCTGGCTAGGACTGTGTGATGTCCTGGTTGGGCATTTGACTATGCCTGGAGAGTGTCAGCTTGGAATCCCCACTTAGTCCGGCATTTCATTGGGTTGCCTTAGGCCAGTGACTACCTCACAGGGTTGCTTTGATAAAAGTGGGGGAGGGGGAAAGACCTCCATATACCATCCTGAGCTTATTAAAGAAAGATTTTCCGCCCTGGGCTCATTTGAGAGGAAGGGCAAGATATAAATTTAACTAATAATAATGTATTCATTTACTAGTTGGAACATAACTGTTACATCATGGAATAATGTGGTTCAGGACTTTAGCTACTCCATTTCATTGTCCCTGTCCCTCCCTATTTGTTGCTCCAACGACAAGTCAGCATTCTGTGTCCAGGTTCCAACTTTAGGCTCATTGTATGTACTTTTGCAAACTTTGGGGTAGCCCTCAGCTTGCCAATACCTCACCTTTTGCAGTGTGGATGGTGTCATTTTGGATATATAAGCAATGGGACCCAAAGCCTGAACAACAGAAATGCATAGCATCATCTGTACGAGCCATAATGATGGCACAAGCGGGGCGTTGTAGGAGAGCAGCAAAGGGATGGCCAGTTTATCAGGTCCTGATGTCAGGTCCCACCTTCCATGCCACCACAAATCTACTATAGCAAAACAGCTTCTATAAGTAAATACACACCATAGAGCAGAGGTAGTCAGCATGACACCTTTCTGATGTTGTTGGATTTCATCTCCCATCAGCCCAACCAGTATGGCCAATTTTCAGGGAAGATGAGACCTGAAGTCTATCAACATCTGGAGGGCACCATACTGGCTACTCCAGCCATATCGGAAATAAAGAGCCCATGACTATGAGTTATCTATAAGCTGCATTGAGTCCTGTCAGGGGGAAAGTGGGGTATAAAACAGCAACAGTAGTTCCTAGGAGTTTAGTCTTGGTCACACTGAAAGACAGGAGATAGTAGATGTGGGGAACATGTGACCCTATAAATGTTGCTGAACTTCAACTCCCATCTGCCCAAGTACAGTGGTGCCCCGCAAGACGAACGCCTCGCAAGACGAAAAACTCGCAAGACGAAAGGTTTTTTCGTTTTCGAGTTGCTTCGCAAGACGAATGTCCCTATGGGCTTGCTTCGCAAGACGAAAACGTCTTGCAAGTTTGTTTCCTTTTTCGTAAAACCGTTAAAACCCAGGGTGCATTGCTGGAAGAGGTGCAGTTGCGACTTGACCTCGAGGAGCAACACATTGCACGCGGTGTGGTGGCCTTTCTGAGCTTTTTAAAGAGTTTGCTGGATTTTTGAAGCTTTTCCAAAACTTCTTCTACAGCTGTTTGGTAAGTTGAACTTTTAAAACTTTTTTTTGGGTTTTGGGGATTTTGGGTTGGGGTGTTTAGAATTCAAGGACTTGGTGTTGGGGAGAGGTTTGCAAGAATCTGGGAGCTTGTGTGGTTTTTTTCTGCATTTTTATGATTTTCTGTGACCATTGGGCCATGTTTATTTTTTTTAAAAAAAAAAATCTGGCTTTGAATTTTTGAATTTCTGTGTGCTGGGTGGATGGGGGAACAGCTGGGGAGGTGTTTGCAAGAATCTGGGAGCTTGTGTGCTTTTTTTTGAATTTTTATGATTTTTTTGTGACCATTGGGCCATGTTGTTTTTTTTTGAAAAAAGTTTCTGGGTTTTAAATTTCTGTGTGCTGGGTGGATGGGGGAACAGCTGGGGAGGTGTTTGCAAGAATCTGGGAGCTTGTGTGCTTTTTTTTGAATTTTTATGATTTTTTTGTGACCATTGGGCCATGTTGTTTTTTTTAAAAAAGTTTCTGGGTTTTAAATTTCTGTGTGCTGGGTGGCTGGGGAACAGCTGAGGAGGGGTTTGCAAGAATCTGGGAGCTTGTGTGCTTTTTTTGAATTTTTATGGTTTTTTGTGACCATTGGGCAATGTTGTTTTTTTTTGAAAAATGTTTCTGGGTTTTAAATTTCTGTGTGCGGGGTGTCTGGGGGAACAGCTGGGGAGGTGTTTGCAAGAATCTGGGAGCTTGTGTGCTTTTTTTTTAATTTTTATGATTTTTGTGACCATTGGGCCATGTTGTTGTTTTTTGAAAAAGTTTCTGGGTTTTAAATTTCTGTGTGCTGGGTGGCTGGGGGAACAGCTGTGGAGGTGTTTGCAAGAATCTGGGAGCTTGTGTGCTTTTTTGAATTTTTATGATTTTTGTGACCATTGGGCCATGTTGTTTTTTTTGAAAAAGTTTCTGGGTTTTAAATTTCTGTGTGGTGGGTGGTTGGGGGTAACAGCTGGGGTGGTGTTTGCAAGTATCTGGGTGCTTTTGTGGGTTTTTTTGAATTTTTATGCTTTTTTTGTGACCATTGGGCCATGTTGTTTTTTTTTGAAAATATTTTCTGGGTTTTAAATTTCTGTGTGCTGGGTGGCTGGGGGAACAGCTGAGGAGGGGTTTGCAAGAATCTGGGAGCTTGTGTGCTTTTTTTTGAATTTTTATGATTTTTTTGTGACCATTGGGCCATGTTGTTTTTTTTTTGAAAAAAGTTTCTGGGTTTTAAATTTCTGTGTGCTGGGTGGATGGGGGAACAGCTGGGGAGGTGTTTGCAAGAATCTGGGAGCTTGTGTGCTTTTTTTTGAATTTTTATGATTTTTTGTGACCATTGGGCCATGTTGTTGTTTTTTGAAAAAGTTTCTGGGTTTTAAATTTCTGTGTGCTGGGTGGCTGGGGGAACAGCTGGGGAGGTGTTTGCAAGAATCTGGGAGCTTGTGTGCTTTTTTTTAATTTTTATTATTTTTGTGACCATTGGGCCATGTTGTTTATTCTTTGAAAAAAGTTTCTGGGTTTTAAATTTCTGTGTGCTGGGTGGCTGGGGGAACAGCTGGGGAGGTGTTTGCAAGAATCTGGGAGCTTGTGTGCTTTTTTTTGAATTTTTATGATTTTTTTGTGACCAGTGGGCCATGTTTTTTTTTTTTGAAAAAAGTTTCTGGGTTTTAAATTTCTGTGTGCTGGGTGGCTGGGGGAACAGCTGAGGAGGGGTTTGCAAGAATCTGGGAGCTTGTGTGCTTTTTTTTGAATTTTTATGGTTTTCTGTAACCATTGGGCCATGTTGTTTTTTTTTGAAAAATTTTCTGGGTTTTGAATTTCTGTGTGCTGGGTGGCTGGGGGAACAGTTGAGGAGGGGTTTGCAGGAATCTGGGAGCTTGTGTGCTTTTTTTTGAATTTTTATGGTTTTCTGTAACCATTGGGCCATGTTGTTTTTTTTGAAAAATTTTCTGGGTTTTGAATTTCTGTGTGCTGGGTGGCTGGGGGAACAGTTGAGGAGGGGTTTGCAGGAATCTGGGAGCTTGTGTGCTTTTTTTGAATTTTTATGGTTTTCTGTAACCATTGGGCCATGTTGTTTTTTTTGAAAAATTTTCTGGGTTTTGAATTTCTGTGTGCTGGGTGGCTGGGGGAACAGTTGAGGAGGGGTTTGCAACAGTTGGGGAGGGGTTTGCAACAGTTGGGGAGGGGCTGGGGGAACAGTTGAGGTTTTTGAAGACTTTGGTGATTTTTAAAGCTTTCCCAAAATTTCTTTTGCAGCCATTTGAGGATTTTGAAGACTTTGGTGATTTGCAGCCATTTCGTAAGTTAAACTTTTAAAACTTTTTTTGGGGTTTTTGGATTTTGGGTTGGGTGTTTGGAATTCAAGGACTTGGTTGTGGGTTTGAATTGCTGATTTATTTATTTTTTCTGAGTTTACGAAGGTAACAGCTGTGCTGCCATGGGACCCAAGAAGACTGCTGCTGCTGCGGAGGCCGGCGAGAGGAAGAAGGAGAAGGTGACGCTGGAGATGAAGAAGGAGATCATCCGGAAGCACGACGGTGGAATGCGTGTGACGGACCTCGCCAGGGAGTACGGCAGGAACCCATCGACCATCGGGACCATCCTGAAGATGAGGGAGAAGATCCTTGCGACTGATGCAGCCAAGGGAGTCACCAGGATCGTGAAGAACCGCCCAGCTGTTCTGGAGGAGGTCGAGAAGTTGCTCCTCATCTGGATAGAAGAGAAGCAGCGTGCAGGGGACACAGTGACTGAGGCCGTGATTTGTGAGAAGGCCAAGGCCTTGCACGCAGACCTCATCCGGGAACAGCCAGGAACCTCGGCCGAGCCAGAAGTCTTCAAGGCAAGCAGAGGCTGGTTTGACCGGTTCAAGGCAAGATCCGGAATCCACAGCGTGGTCAGGCATGGAGAGGCTGCCAGTTCTGATGTTCCTGCGGCTGAAGACTTTGCCTTGGAGTTCCTGGAGGTTGTGAAGACGGAGGGCTACGTTCCACAGCAGGTCTTCAACTGCGACGAGACCGGGCTGTTTTGGAAGAGGATGCCCAAAAGGACTTTCATCACTCAGGAGGAGGCCAAGTTGCCTGGCCACAAGCCCATGAAGGACCGTCTGACCCTGCTCTTCTGTGCCAACGCAAGCGGCGACCTGAAGATCAAGCCCCTGCTGGTGTACCACTCGGAGAACCCACGGGCCTTCAAGAAACACAAGGTCGACAAGGAGCGGCTGAGTGTCATGTGGCGATCCAACAGCAAGGCTTGGGTCACACGTGTGCTGTTTGTGGACTGGGTCAATCTTGCCTTTGGCCCTGCTGTCAAACAGTACCTGCTGGACAATGACCTGCCGCTGAAGGCTTTGCTTCTGATGGACAATGCTCCTGCTCATCCTAAAGGCCTTGAGGTGGACTTGTTGGAGGAGTTCAGCTTCATCAACATCATGTTCCTGCCGCCTAACACCACGCCACTGCTCCAGCCGATGGATCAGCAGGTCATCGCCAATTTCAAGAAACTCTACACCAAGGAGCTTTTCAGGCGATGCTTCGAGGTGACTGATTGCACCACCATCACCCTGCGGGAATTCTGGAAGGACCACTTCGACATCGTCACCTGCTTGAAGATGATCACCACGGCCTGGAAGGGGATCAGCCAGAGGAATTTGAATTGCGCTGGCGCAGCCTGTGGCCGGACTGTGTGGCACCAAGTGACTCTGATGCACCAGAGTCGACAGTGGTGCAGGACATTGTTGCCTTGGGGAGGACCTTGGGCCTGGAGGTCACAGAGGAGGACGTTTGCGAGCTGGTGGAGGAGCACGACCACGAGCTGACCACCCAGGAGCTGGTTGAACTGCAGTCAGAGGTTGCGCAGGAGCAGGCCTCGCTGGAAGAGGAGGAAGCAACTGAGGAACGGCTGTCCTCCAAAGAACTGAGGGACATTTGCCAGAAGTGGAATGAGGTGCAGGCTTTTGCAGAGCGGCACCACCCTGACAAGCACGTGGCACATGACCAAGCGAACATTTTTGATACGACGGTCATGTCGCCTCTCAGGGAGCTGCTGAAACGGCGGATGAAGCAGCAGACCATGGACAGGTTCCTCAGCAAGAAGCAAAGAGTGGAAGAGGAACCTTCTTCGAGTGGTCCCCAGAGTCTTAGAAAATGTAATGTACCCTTTTTGATTTTTAAATGTTTTTCCTGTCATGTTTAGAAACTTAACTTATTGTTCCTTCAATTATGCTCTTTAAAGTATGTGTGACTTTAAAGAGCAGTTAATAAACTCTTGTTGTACCGAATTTGGCTTTGATTGGACTTTTTTTGACCATAGGAACGCATTAATTGAATTTCAATGCATTCCTATGGGATTTCGTGCTTCGCAAGACGAAAAATTCGCTAGACGAAAAAACTCGCGGAACGAATTAATTTCGTCTTGCGAGGCACCACTGTAAGCATGACCAATGCTCAGGGATCATTGGAGTCATAGTCCAGCAACATCTGGACAGCCAAAGATTCCCTGCAGCTGGGATACAGACTTATTCAGTAGACAACCCTTACCCAGATTCAGGAGTATAATCCACAGCAAGGAAGCAGCTTACATGTGAAGACCATTGACATGAGCTATTATCACTCTACCCCCATGTCTTTGGAGCAAGGAGCATATGTGAGAGTTTGTACTAATAATCAGATGCCGTATCACCAAATGCCTCATTTGACTAAAGAGCCAACAGCTGGTGGAGGGGGTGGGGAAGAAGGCCAGATGAAGAATTGTCTTCTTAGGCCCTCTTACACATCAATATTTTTTCACTGGAGGAAGTTTGTTTACAGACCAATGTACAGGCAATGAAACAGCATTTCCGTGGAACTTGCAATGTCACACATAGCAGTTCCCAGAGTACAAGGTTACATACAATAATAAAATAAAATATGACATTTTAGATAAGTGGGGAAGGGTGGAGGTAAGAAGCAAGTTGTTTTCTAGGCTTTGTGTTACTAGGTCCAAAGTTGATAATTTGAATTTGTGACTGGAAAGCAGGGGTATGTCCCAGAATATTTCTGTGGGTGGTGGCTGCATATTCTCTGGAGGTATCTGAGCTGTCTGGATTCTCAGCGCTCTCAGGTCTCCAATAGACCTTGGCATCCACCTGTGGGGAAACTCACTGGGCTTGTTGGCAGCATGGTATTGCCTCTGGCCTTAATACCATTGGAGGAAGGCCAAGAAGCTGGGGTTTCCCACTCATGGAGGAGGAGGAGGGACCTGTTTGTGGCTCACCTGCTTTGGGTATAGTGGGGTGAGCCTGTGGTGGCTCCCCTCTTCTGGGTTAGGGGGGCAGGCTGTTTATTCAGAGTATTCATGGTTTCTCCCCACAGTGATTGTGGGGGATAAACCGTTTGTGGTTCCTCCCATTCTAGGGTTAGAGGGGCAAGCCAGCAGCTCATACTGATGGTGGCCTGTAATGTGTTTAATGTATATGTCTCAAAACAACCAGTTGGGAACCGACACCATCATCAGCTTTGTATAGTGTTTGCGCACATCACAAGCTGACAATACAGGCTCCTTGTCAGGCTCCCAGCCTCCAGGGTGTGGGAATGTTGAGGGTAGCAGGAGAGGATATATTGATTATTAATATCCTTCCTAACCTTATGGTTTCAATATTTGGACATCTAATCTTAAAACCAGCAATCTCATTTGGACACCTATTTGGATATATGGACTGTTTATATTTATTAGAATTGGATGGGATATTTTTATTAATGTGGGCAGGCAGATGTTGTTTCTTTTTCTTTCCAATATATTTGCTATATATTAAACCCAAAACCGAGGTACACAGCAAAGAAAGAGAGAGGAGAGGGGAAAGCTCAAGGGAGAGTTCTACTGCAGCTTCCTGTATTGGATGGGTGAGTTTTGTCTTAATTACTACTGCATTCCCTTCTTCAATAGATGTGTCACCCAATGCAGACTTCATGGGGAGCTGTCTGAAGCATGCACAGTGGAAAAGCAGCCTCTCTCAAGTACTCATCCACCAGCCCCCTAACCTTAATGAGCGTCATGTCACCAGACCTATCAAGGTGCACCTGCTACCCCTCACTCATTATAAATCTCATCTCCCAAGATGTGCAGAGGCAAAGGTTTGTCACAATACCATACAGACTACAAGTAGGTCTTCCAGCAGCAATGACCAACAGCAATTGGTGCTAGGGGGAGAGGTTGCCACCTTTATTTGTTGTTTCAGCAGGCAAGAAATTAAAATAAAAGTTCACTATGCACTGTGGCTCATAAATACACTCTTTAAATTCTGCCCTGTTCCCATAAAACCAGACCAGGAGAGGGCAAAGTAGGTGGTTGCTCCAGGCTACAATCAGATGCTTGCCCATAAAATGGCTTAGAAGTTGAGTGTATGCCAATAGCACATTAGAGGCAAGAATATAAGATCACACCTTTAAAGGCACCTACACTTCACTTCTAGGCTGCCAACAGACGGCCATGCCAGCTGCAACATGACAACAGAGCAGCGTGGATGGCAGGCAGCTCAGGCGAGCTGCTGAGGAAGGAGCAATGTTCAAAGGAGGGTAGAAGGGGCTCCAGAGAGCAATTTGCTCTCTGAGCCCCCCACTTGCCTTAAACATTGTTGGAACAACATTTGAGGGAGTGTGGGGGCACTTCAGAAAGTGGTTTGGCAAACTGCTCTCTGAAGTGCCCAACTGTCTATTAAACAGTTTAATGGGGGGGGGGGGTTTGGCCAAGCTGTGATGGGCAGGATGGGGCAGGTGTAACGGGAAGAGGTTGCCAGCAGTGGGTGCAAGGGGGTGGGAGCATGGGCGCAATCATGGTTTTTGTTAACGGGGGTTAGGCCTTTTGTTTTGGGAGGCAGAACCTCAGTTTGCTATTGATTTTTATGGATTTGTGGGGGCAGCTGCCCCTCCCTGCCTCACCTGGGCTATGCCCATGGGGGGGGGATGGCAAGGGGAGCAAGAAGAGACAGCAGCCCCAAGCTTGATAAAAATTATGTACTGGTTGATTGTAAGACAATCTCTAAGTGGTTTGCGAAAACAAAAAACATTGAACATGGGTTTTTTTAAAAAAACAAACAAACAGGTATAGAATAACCAATCTTTGCTAGAGTATAAATATGGACAGTTTGGAAATCTATTGTATTTTTCGCTCTATAAGATGCACCTGACCATAAGACGCACCTAGTTTTAGAGGAGGAGAACAAGAAAAAAAAATATTCTCTCCCTCTCTGCGCAGCGCCCCTTTAGCGAAGCAGCAGGGGAAACGGAGCCCCTTCCGTTTCTCCTCCTGCTTCGCTGAAAGGGTGCTGCGCAGAGAGGGAAAGCTGTGCAGCGCCTCTCCAGTGAAGGGAGAAGGATTTGGATTTGATATCCTGCTTTATCACTACCCTAAGGAGGCT